GGTCACTTTGAAAGTGCAGTATGAATGGCGTCCAAATCCCTGCAAGCACTGTAAGTCTTTAATGCATGCTTCTTTCATATGCCCGACAAAACCGAAAATTCCTACCGAGACTCAGGAAAGAGTTAATAATGGGGGGAGAGGTAGGAGTTTCAGCAGGAAACCCCATTATAAACACTCTTCCAGCAATCAGAATCAATCCAGACCTCCGTCCTCTAACACTCACTCTGCTCCGCAAAATCCTGCTCAATTAAATCACTTCAATTCTCAGCATCCTAATCCTGAGCAAATAAACACCAATGCCCCTTCTTCTTCACAGCCCTCTACCCTCAAAAATGCTATAGGTCAAGACTTGCATTATCAACCCCATTCCCCCACTTCCCTAAAAAATCCACCTCTGTCTGATATTGGTGTTATTCCAGTTTCGGATCTCCCATTATCTGAAGACGCTGTGATATCGGGTATACCTAATCTCAACTCTCCCCATGAGACTATCTCCTCATCCTCCACCTCTAAACACATCCCAACTTCTAAAGACATAACTTCTCCCAACAAGTTTGAAATCCTGAACTCTGAAGAAGACTTTTCCTCTCATCAAGATGAGAGACTGGATGATAAGTTGAGTTCCAAAGACTGTGGTCAAGCTAAGATTGTGGACAAAGGTAAACAATCTCAAGCTAGTGTGGCGCCTAAAAAACCTGCTCGGGGTAAGCAGAGCAAAAAACCCCAAGGCTCTTCACATCCCTAATGTACTTCCCTCCAATGGCAGCGTGGAACATTAGGGGATTCAATCATCATGATAAAGTCTTGAGCTGCAAGCATCTTATTAAATCATTCAATTTACAATTGGTCTGCATTCTGGAAAATAGAATTAGCTCTAATTCTCTTCTAGATCTTTTCTTTGCCTCCTCTCATTCTCTGTTTTTGAATGAAGAAAGTTGTAACAACTTTGCCTTATCTCCCTCTGGTAGGATTTGGGTAAAGTGGGACGCCTCTAAACTTAAATTCAAGCCATCCTACATATCGGACTAGATAATATCGGGTATTGTATGGATTGGTTCTGAGCCTCTGTTGCACCTCTCTGCTATTTATGCTTCTAATCATGCTATAGAACGTAAGGTTCTGTGGGACTCTCTTGTTCAGATATCTTCGACTATTGATCTCCCTTGGGCTTTAATGGGTGATTTCAACTGTTGCTGTTATGCACATGAAAAGTCTGGTGGCAACGCTATCAATCATAATGCTTTGTTGGACTTCAACAATATGATTTTTCATAATAGTCTGGTGGACTTAAATTCTGTTGGTCTCAAGTATACATGGTATAATCAACGCATTACCAATCCTATACATATCAAACTTGACCGTGTTCTTGTAAATGAATGCTGGCTGAATTCCTTCATGAATTCTTATTATTCCATCCAAAGTCCATCCTGCTCGGATCATTGCCCGATTATTCTCAATCCTGGTATGAATGTTCAAAGGCACCATCGTTTCCTTTATAAAAACTTTTGGAGTAACTTTGATCAATACTGGTTTATTATATTGGATATTTTCTCTAAACCATGTGTGGGTAATCCCATCTCACACCTGATGGAGTCTTTAAAAATGCTTAAGAAGGAGATCAAAAGTAAGGAGTGGTCTTCCTCTTCCTCTGTCACGAAGCACTTGGAGGGTCTGAATGATATGCAGATGGACCCGATGGTTAAGCTGCAGAAGGAACCTTATAATGCTGCTGTGAATCACAATTATAAAAAATGCTCTGCGGAGCTCTCTAAATTTAACTCTATGCTTTCCTCTTGGGCTATACAGAGGGCGAAAGTCAATTGGATCAGACATGGGGAGGATGACTTGAAATTTCTTTATACCAAAATTAGATCTAGAAGAAATGCATCCAATTCTGTGGTTAATCTTTTAGCTAATTCTAGCCTGGCTTCTAGATCTGAAGTGGTAAATTCGATTATCCAGTTTTTTCAAGGGCTATATAATCCTCCTGCTCCTTCTATTAGGAATTCTTCTCTTTTTCCTGTTGGCTCCACTTTGCCCATGGTTGATGCTTTATGCCTCACTTCTATGGTGTTAGATGATGAAGTGAAATATGCGGTTTTCTCGGGTAAATCTAATTCGGCTCCTGGGCCTGATGGGTATAACTTTCATTTCTACAAATCTGCTTGGCATGTTATTGCCCCTGTGGTTTTTCGGGCTGTTAAATCTTTTTTTCAGAAATGCTATATGCCCAATGGGGTTAAAGCCCTGCATTGGCTATTGTTCCTAAGCATAAGTATGCTTCTGATATTTCAGATTATAGGCCTATTGCTCTATGTAATGTTCTCTATAAAATCATTGCAAAGGTTCTTGCGGAAAGAATGAAACATGTGATGAATGTGATTGTCAAGGACAATCAAGCTGGCTTTGTTAAATCTAGAGTTTCTACGGATAACATTTTATTAGCAAATGATATTTTATTTTATGCTGGTAAGAAGAGGGGAGGTAAATACTTTTGTGCCAAGCTAGACATCAAAAAGGCTTTTGACTCTGTAAGCCGGGAATTTTTGTTGGAGAGAATGCTACAGAAAGGCTTCCATAGCCTCTTTGTTAATTGGATTAAAATCTGTATCTCAGATGTCAATTATTCCATATTGCTTAATGGTACTTTGGAGGGTTATTTTTCCTCCTCTGCTGGTCTGAGACAGGGATGTCCTCTAAGTCCATATCTCTTTTGTATTGTAATGGATGCCTTCTCAAATCTTCTGGAGAATAGGGGCTTCAGAGGTATTTCTCATAAAGATTATTCTCTATCTCACTTACTGTATGCTGATGATGTCTTAATTTTTGGTGAGGCTTCTACTGAGAATTGCAACATTCTGGCTTCTATTCTTACGGATTTTGCAAATTCTACTGGCCTAAATATCAACTATGACAAGTGCTCCATTATGTTTCCTAGGAACCTGAGGAATGTTCAGGAGGTTTGTCAAGCTCTCTCTATTCACAACATAGTCAACAACATTACCTATCTTGGTATCCCGTTATCTTTTTATAGATTGAAAATTGCTGATTTTTTGCCTCTTATGGACTCTGTTAGCAAGAAAATGAATGGATGGAAGGCTTGCTTGTTGTCTTTTGCGGGTAGAATGCAATACATAAAATTCACCATTCAAAACACCATTGCATATTGGATAAGGAGCTCTATTATGCCTAAGACTGTTCACAAATTTATTAAGAGATCTAGCTCTAAATTCTTGTTTTTTGGGGATAATATGGCTGTCAAAAAATTGCATATGGTAGCTTGGGACAAGATCTGTTTACCCAAAAACAAAGGTGGACTGGGTATTCCCTCTATTCCTGCTCTTCAATATGCTTATAACTGTTCGGTAATCCACAGGATGTACAATGTTTCCTCCCCCCTATCCAATTGGTTGCTCTGTGTTTATAAATCTCCATGGATGCCGCCTCCTGCTGCTGCTTCTAAAATCTGAAAATCAATATGCAAAGCAGCTCTTGCTGTTAAGCATTGCTTTACATTCAGTATCACACGATCAACGCCCATCTCCCTCAAATATGACCACTGGTGTCACAACCACACTATCACTGAATTTATGGGCGGCTCTTTCCAGGGCTATTGTCCTGATATTACTATTGATACCTTAATCTGTGGAAATCAGTGGGTTTTTCCGGATTCTTTTCCTGCGTCTCTGAGAAGTATAATTGAGGGTGTCAACATTTCTGCTACTGATGGAAATTGTTTGTTGTGGAAGAACACCAATTCATACAAGTTTAAAAGCTTTATAGACGAATTTTACTCTGATTATCAAACCTGCCACTGGTTTAAAGCGATTTGGGCTAAAAACTGCATTTCTAAGCATTCTGTTTTTGCTTGGCTGGCGTTAGTTCGTGGACTGAAAACTGCAGATGCTCTTATTTACATGAATATTAATGTGCCAGCTAGATGTAGCCTGTGTTATGCCTTTAACGAATCCATTAATCATCTGTTTTTTGAGTGTGATTATGTTTTTGCTGTGCTCACTGCAGTCATACCTGGCTTAAAATCTTTCCTGTTTAGGCCCTCGATAATGCAGGTATTTGAATGGATTAAAGGCAAATACAGTGGTAATAAGAGGGTAAAACACTTCTTTTATATGATTATTTGCTGTGTAATATATCATATTTGGAAGGAAAGGAACGGTAGAAGATTTGGAAATGCCTTTAACTGTCAAGCTACTCTATCTATAAATGTTAGAAGAAACATTTCTGATAGAATTATTGGCTAGAAGAACTATTGGTTTTATCTGGAGATGCTTTGAAAAGTTGAGATGCAGGTTTGATGGCTATGATGTGGGCTATGTTTTGGTTTCTGTCCATCCGCGGGGTGTATTTGCAGATAGCCGAATCTGGACTATGATGCTACTCCTGTATCTGCTTCCCTTGGAGGGCCTACGGGCAACCAGGGAAAATTGGTTCCAATCGAGCACATCTTTTTCTAGTCTGAGTCCAGATTCACGATGGCTAGGGAGTTTTTCTTTTGGGAGGTGGATTCTGCATCAACTGAACCGTAGCTTGTTTTGTCTGCAGGGCTACTATTGTCTGGATGGCTGTATCAAAATCACTTGTATTAGGAATGTTTTTTGTTTTATCAATTTATGCAGCTAATGCTGATAGTTTGTAATAGGCTTTTTATTTTGTTAAGCAGCTGTTTTTTTATGCTGATAAGGTTTTGGTGATTGCTACTGGCTAGTTGTGGTAGCAATCATTTTTCATTATGTACTCCTTTTTGGTTTAAATGATATGGGCTTAGGCCCCAATTTTTCCAAAAAAAAAAAAAATAAATAAAAAAAAAAATTATGCTGTCCTAATATTCGAACCAAGCGCGTCTTTTGAAAAAGAGAAGCTTAAAAACTAGTGGGTAAAGTTTTGGGTGTATTTTCCAGTGAAATAAACAAAACCACTTTGAAAAAGAGATGCGTTGGGTTTTACCTTTAAGAAATTTAAGAACTCTCACACACATCGCTTCCTCTTCTTCTTCTTCCTCTCTCTCTCTCTTCCTATTTCTTAGCGAGGAGAAGAGCGAGGTGGAAAGCTCCATGGTTTTAATACCTCAGCAATGAATTGCGGTCACCTCCCGATGGACACGCGGCTTCTCCTGCTCCTCCTCTTTCTATTCCTCCTTACTTTTTCGCCGGCGGCGGCGGATCTCGCCGGTGATGGAGCTTCCCTCATGACCTTCCGCGCAGCCGTCGGTAGATTTGTGCTCCCATGGAACACCTCGGTCTCGCCGTGCATGTGGCCTGGCGTTACCTGTGCCAGCAACCGCGTCGTCTCCCTCCGCCTCCCTGGCTCCGGCCTCATTGGCCAAATTCCCGAAGGAACTCTCGGCAACCTTTCCAACCTCCAGACTCTCTCGCTACGCTTCAACGCTCTTTCTGGTCCCTTACCATCCGACCTCGCTAGATGTAAGGAGCTACGAAATTTATACCTTCAGGGAAACCGCTTCTCCGGTGAGATCCCAGCGTTTCTATCCTCTCTGAGTAGCTTGGTACGGCTGAACCTAGCAGAAAACAACTTCTCCGGTGTGATCCCGCTGGCATTCAACAATCTCACGCGGCTTGGGACGCTGTACCTTGAGAGCTTAATCGTCACAGTCATACCGCCAGCACTCGTGATTTCAATTTCCCATCGACCACGCGATTTCGTTTTACCATCGACCACGCGATCTGCTCGACGAGCTTGGAAGTCGAGTGGAGGGATGTTTGATCTCGAACCCGATAAGCCGTTGAGCTCGGAATCGTGTTTGAGCTCGACTTGTGAGCTTCATATGCAAGACTCGTCGAGCCTGTTATCAAGCTCGAGCCAGCTCATGAATTGCACCCCTACTCTCTCCCCATGATCTTTCTCCGCTAATTTAAATTAATCATCGGCCCCTTTCTAAAAAACAGAAGTTTATGCTGTCCTAACTCCTAATATTCGAACCAAGCGCGTCTTTTGAAAAAAAGAAGCTTAAAAACTAATGGGTAAATTTCTGGGTGTATTTTCCGGTGAAATTAACAAATCCACTTTGAAAAAGAGATGCGTTGGGGTTTTACCTTTAAGAAACTTTTGAGAACTCTCACACACATCGCTTCCTCTTCTTCTTCCTCTCTCTCTCTCTTCCTATTTCTTAGCGAGGAGAAGAGCGAGGTGGAGAGCTCCATGGTTTTAATACCTTAGCAATGAATTGCGGTCACCTCCCGATGGACACGCGGCTTCTCCTGCTCCTCCTCTTTCTATTCCTCCTTACTTTTTCGCCGGCGGTGGCGGATCTCGCCGGTGATGGAGCTGCCCTCATGACCTTCCGCGCAGCCGTCGGTAGATTTGTGCTCCCATGGAACACCTCGGTCTCGCCGTGCATGTGGCCTGGCGTTACCTGTGCCAGCAACCGCGTCGTCTCCCTCCGCCTCCCTGGCTCCGGCCTCATTGGCCAAATTCCCGAAGGAACTCTCGGCAACCTTTCCAACCTCCAGACTCTCTCGCTACGCTTCAACGCTCTTTCTGGTCCCTTACCATCCGACCTCGCTAGATGTAAGGAGCTACGAAATTTATACCTTCAGGGAAACCGCTTCTCCGGTGAGATCCCAGCGTTTCTATCCTCTCTGAGTAGCTTGGTACGGCTGAACCTAGCAGAAAACAACTTCTCCGGTGTGATCCCGCTGGCATTCAACAATCTCACGCGGCTTGGGACGCTGTACCTTGAGAGCAATCACCTCAGCGGCGAGATCCCGGAGCTCGACCTTCCCAACCTCGTGCAGTTTAATGTGTCCTTTAATCGGCTCAACGGATCGGTGCCGTCGAAGCTACGCGACAAGCCAGCGAACTCTTTTCTGGGGATGTCACTCTGCGGTGGGCCGCTTGGGCTTTGCCCTGGCGAGATCTCGCCGGCGGCCGCTCCAACGGGAACTTTACCGTCCGGTAGTGGGAGCAAGCTCTCCGGCGCTGCTATTGCGGGGATCGTTATTGGCACCATTGCTGTTTTTCTCATCCTTCTTGTTATTCTGTTTTTGCTTTGCCGAAAAAAAGGAAAAGCTGGCGCGGCTAAGTCGGTCGAGGCAAAGCCGCCGGAGGTGGAAGTCGCGCTCAGGGATGTGGGAATCGTGGATGGTGTTGGAACAAACGGAGGCGCCCCTGCTACGAAAGTTGCTGCTTCTTCGGCGCCGGCGGCAGCTTTGGCGGCTAAGAAGCAGCTGGCGTTTTTCGGCAATGGACCAAAGGTTTACGATCTAGAGGACCTGCTCAGGGCTTCGGCGGAGGTTTTGGGGAAGGGTACATTTGGAACGACGTACAAGGCGGTGTTGGAGACTGGAATGATGGTGGCGGTGAAGCGACTCAGGGATGCTAATACGCCTGAGAAGGAGTTCAGGGAGAAGATTGACGCCATCGGCGCCATGAATCACCCTAACCTTGTTCCTCTCCAAGCCTATTACCATAGCAAGGATGAAAAACTCTTGGTGTATGATTACATGCCAATGGGAAGCCTCTCTTCCCTCCTCCATGGTGACTTCCTCCCCTTTAACATATGAAACTCTGTTCATTTCATCTTTTTAGTTTGTAGGCCCTTTCATCTCTCTGTTTTAATGTTCTCTTATTGTGCATTACAGCTTGAACTTTTTAGCACAGATCCCCTAATTTCTAATATCTTTATCTAGATTGCTCTCATTTTGGAGTTTGAACTGTTTATATTTGTTCGTTCGAAAAATGTACTAAATAATCATACTCTGATCAAAATTGAATCTTTCTTATCATTTGGGGATGATAACTCTACTTCTCCTGCCAAAATTTGATTTTTTTTTTCCTTTTCGTATCATGACTGAACCAATCATACAGGAAACCGAGGATCTGGACGCACCCCTCTCAGCTGGGAGATAAGAACCAGCATTGCCATGGCCGCAGCTCGCGGCATAGAGTACATCCACTCCACCAGCCACACTGCATCTCATGGAAACATCAAGTCTTCCAACATTCTCCTTACCAGCTCATCCGAAGCCCGAGTTTCCGACCATGGCCTCGCACATCTCGTTGGCTTGTCCGCAACGTCAAACCGCGCCGCCGGTTATCGGGCGCCTGAGGTCACCGACACCCGAAGGGTTTCTCAAAAGGCAGATGTCTACAGCTTCGGAGTTCTCCTCCTCGAGCTTCTCACCGGCAAGGCGCCGGCCCAAGCTCTCCTCAATGAAGAAGGCGTCGATTTGCCACGTTGGGTGCAGTCGGTGGTTCATGAAGAGTGGACATCCGAGGTGTTTGATATGGAGCTGTTAAGGTATCAGAGTGTGGAGGAGGAGATGGCGGAGCTACTGCAACTTGGAGTAAACTGCACTGCGCAATATCCCGACCAGCGGCCGACGATGTCAATGGTGGTGGCCAAGATTGAAGAGCTTCAGCGCTCGAGCGTTGAGGTTAGTAAAGAGTAAAAGCAATTGACAGGAGGGATCTGATTATCTGCTTATTAGAATTTCTCAATGGTTTGAGCTTCTTTGTTCTGGAAACAGGAAACTTCCATGTCTTCACTTGAATTTGTTTATACATGAATTGATGGATGTATGGATGGATGAATTTTCTTTTTCTTTGGGTGATTTTTGTTATTATTTTCAAGATCAAAATTTTCCTTTTTTTTTTAATCTTAATGTAGATTTTCATGTTCTTCTCTTCTTTTTAACTTTGAATGTATGTTGGCCCTTTCTGTTTAGAGATGAATTTAAAAACTGTCATGATATTGCTCTTGATGATACCTATCGAGGCTTATGGTGGTTGGTAGGTGAGCATGGTCGGGAACCCCCATCCCGGGTTCGAATCCTCTTTATTACGGTTTCGCCTCTTCAATGGGGCAAAGCAAGTGTGGCCCGATGTCGGTGGGTGGCCTCACTATGTTCCTTCGGGGGATTAGTTACACCGCCAATCTCTCATTTGAAGTGGTAGCAAGTAGATACCCGGTTCCAAAAAAAAAATTGCTCTTAATGATTTTACGTGTGAATCTATCTCTCTTTTGCAGTTCTCCTTTATCTAGTAGATATTATGATTTTTCTGACAGGGGATTAGTTACGCCGTCAAGTATTACTTTGAAGTGGCAACGGATAGATACTCGGTTCTAAAAAAAATTGCTCTTGATGATTGTATGTGTGAATCTCTCTTTTGCCAAAAAATTGATTAGTTTCTCATATCATATGTGCATTTTAAAGCAGTTTATCACATCCAAACTAAAATTTGATCAGATATTCTGATCCAAAACTTCTCTGAAAAAAAAGTTTTTTTTCTTAAACAGATCTGTTGAGTTTAGTTTAAATATCTGTTCAGAGAATTTTTTTTTCAAATTTTAAATGTTAGAGATATAGAAACATCACCAATATTTAGTTTATTATTGGTAATTGGTACATTATTTTGCTGTTTGTCTTGTCTTGTATGGCCTTCAAATTCCAGCAGTTTTGCATGATTACAATGATGCGGTCATCATATTTGGAATTACTCTTTTGTTTTCATTACAGAATTGGTTCTTTACTGTTGGAATTTGGTGAAGTTTGCACAGAAAACTTGCAGGTCTTCAGAGAATTTGACTCGAATATTATTTCAAAAAGAAAAAAAGAGTCAAATATTTCTTTAATAAAGAAATTTGTAGTTTTAGGAGTAAATTATTTTGTCATCGAAGCAGGCTTTGATCGCCTCGTCTTCCATTCAGGCATTCACTATTTTTTTTTGAATTGATTCATATCATATAGAAGTATTTATTTCTTGTAAAATAAATTCTAAAAATTTAAATAAAAGATAAATAAATAATTTCAAGATAGCTCGATTGAAGTTCAAGACAATTGAGATCAGTACTGCGGCCGGATGGTGGACATAAGCAATTCCTCCCTCCTCATCCATGCTCGAATCCACTAAACGTCCTCAAAAAAATGTTCATGACTACTTAATAATGAGCAAAATTGAGTCTAGATTGTTTGAAATTGAATCGGTTCGACTCACGAGCTATTTTTGTATGGGCTTTTTATATATTCGGTCAGATCTTGAGTTTGTGTTAGATGTTAAATGACATAGGGTTTAATTTTCTTTTACATCAAAAATTCTATTCATATGAGGAAGGGAGGGAGATTGTAAATATTATCTTTGAAAAATAGAGAATAATATTATAAATGTTGTCTTTACAAAATAGCTATGGATTGTGTTGTTGAGAAGTAAACCATGCAACATGTGAATTGGAATATTCACGGCGGTAGAGAGATGTATACTTTAGCATCCAAGTTTTGTATGAAAATCCAGCACACATACATATATAAGAGAGGAGTGCGAGAGGTATAAGAGAAACAAAAAAATTTATGTGGAAAATCCTAAAAAGAGAAAAATCACGGGGTCTGACCTAGTTAAAATGGTTCTAATATTTATTGTTGATTACAAATGAGGCCTTTCCATGGGGGGAAGGCATTGACATGATGTAGTAAATATACATCATATAGAGCATATTATATGGTGATGGTTGGAAGAATCCAATGATAAGAGAGTCATTCACAAGAGAAAAGTTGGTTTGTTCATTTGGTTGGCAATATGATGATGGTTGGAGGGGCCTTAGTCGACAAAGGTTAGAGGGATTGTATTCGACGAGCGACGATGGTCAGATGGATTGTAGTTGGCGGGCGAGACTGGTCAGAGGGATCGTAGTCGGAAGGCCAAGATGTTCAGAAGGACCTTAATCAGCGGGTGACGAAGATCGGAGGGACCGTAGTCAGCGAACGATGTTGGTTGAAGGGATCGTAGTCGATGGGAGATGTTGGTTGATGGGATCGTAGTCAATGGGAGATGTTGGTTGAAGGGCCATAGGCCGTGGTCCGGCGCCGATTGACGGAACTAGTGCTAGAGCTCTTGAAGCCCCATAGCTCTCTCCGGACAGTGGTCCGAGGGACTATAGTCGGCAAGTGGTGGCAGTTACTATAATTGGTGGGTGATAATGGTAAGATGGACCCTAATCGACGGGCAATGTTGGTCAAAGGGATCGTAGTCGGTGGCAACAATGGTTGGAGGGTCCTTAGTCGGAGGGTGATTGTGGCCGAAGGGATCGTAGTCGGTGGGTGATGGTGTTCCTGGGGACAGTCGCGTGGAAGTCCGTTAGCGGTGGGTAGCCGGGTGGAAGTGTGGCGGTCGGGTGGTGGTCCAACGATGTTCAGACGGAAGTCCGACCATAGCCAATGAAAGACTGGCGGTCGGGTGGTGGCCCAACGAAGGTAGGGTGACCCTTGAGGAATAGTCGGTGGTCGACAATCACTGTGGTCGGCGGTCAGGCTGTGGTCCGGCGCCGATTGACGGAACTAGTGCTAGAGCTCTTGAAGCCCCATAGCTCTCTCCGATCTCCAGCCAAAATGTCCTATTTCATGTAGAGAGTGGGGGTTTATTTATAATTTTTTTAGAGTGGCAGGTGCCGTAAATATTAAAAAGATTTGGGGCAGATTTGGAGTGCTACATCAGACAGCCTATATTAATCCCCTCAATCATAGAGAATTTTTCAAGTGCTTAAGTGCCTTATTGATGTTGGAATTCAGCGATCTTAAGCTTGTTAGATTTGTCCTACCAACCACTTGATTCAAATATAAGCTTGTTATATTTGGATATCATTTGGTCATCTAATTTAGGTTATGAACCTTCCAAATAAGCTTTGGATTTCTAATTTGGACCCATTGGGGCTCAGATTGGACTGATTTGGTGTCATTGGGTTTGTCTCTTCCAGACGTTCATTTTGACTATAAGATTGCTGAAATTGGAGTTCAGACATTCTTGAATTTAATTTTTGAAGTTTTCAACTTGAATACATGCACCTTGAGATTTGTGCACGATTATGACGATTTTTGGTAACGTATCAGTTGCCCCCTATTTTTGAACGTCAAATCTTGCAGAGTCCAAAAATATTTATATAATTTTAGCATTCTCACTGAATTACTCCATACTCTAAAATCTAAAAATTTATAATTTATTTAATAATGAATTATAATTATATTGAAAATAAATATGTGTTTGTTAAGTAAGGAATTATTGACTTGAGAATTTTAACTATAACTTAATTTTATTTTACTTAGAGGCTATTTGGTTCGTGGAAAAGATAATTTTGTGTAAAATTAATGCATTCTATTTGAAATATTTTGGAGTTATTTGGATGACTATAAAATAAATACATGTAATTACTTTTTTTCCACTTGATGTAAAATGCATACAATGTAAAGTCCAAATATGATGGTGGAGTTAAAATTTTAAATAAAGTTTTATATTTCATTATAATTTGTGAATTAAAAATATAATTATAAGCTTTACATTATACTTTATATATTATGATAATATTGTATAATGACTTAATTAGAAATAGAGTCAAATATTTTCTTCTTGATGTATGACACTATACAACCATTGAGTTAGACATCACCCATTTTGCTACATAATTGATGCTTGATAATCTTCATCGCAAAAAATATATCAATATTATAAGTAGATAACTGATGTTTAAGAGACATAAGATCAACCATAGAAAAATTTATTAGATGTAACTCTGCATGATGAATTAATTTTCTCTTGTCATAAGCAGAAAATATATTACGTGGGTTTAGACAAGTCTCACAAAGAAGTAACTCAGTACTAGAATCTGAGAAGTGGTTATTCAGATCCTGAAGTAGCATGTCAACAACAATATAAAATAAAATGATAGAAGTTTATTATTTCCTTACATTTTCACACTAAATGTCGACGAACATTTAATATAGAATTTATATTTGGAACTTCAATATAAAAAATATTACAAAAATGTGAAGTTTTTTTCAATAAAGGCTCACATCCATTTTCTCTTATCATCTACAATCATTGCTTGGACACTTATACCAATTTCATTGCATTTATGATATATTGATCCTTTCTTTGTAAGGCTTGTGATAATTCATTTTTACCCCTAAAATATTAATCATTAAATATAATGTCAAGATTAGGTTAGCGACTAACAGTGATGATGTTTGCCTACGATAGTTGGTGGTGGCCAGTGGCGATGGGTAGTGGAGGCCGACAACAGTTAGGGCGACAGTTTGTGGAGCGGGTGGAGACGAGTGGAAGTGGTTGGGGGCAAAAGGCAGTAGTAGTGGTTGGATGTGGCGAGTGGCGATGGAGGGTGGCGACGACGATCAACTGGCCATGGTGGCCCATGGAGATAAGACATCTTATTTATGGTGAAAAATGATACAGCCCAAAATTGGTTGAGTTATAATTAAAAAAACTAAAAGTGAAAAAGGAATTCACTAAAACTTTGCACAACATTCATTTTTCAATCAACCAAATATCAATATTTTGAAAACCCCGCTTTACACCCACTTTACTTTAAACCAAACAAATTACATGCATATTTTGAAATTATTTATCTTGGGCATGAATGCTTTGAATTTTTATTCATTAATTTTAATATCATTTTTAAAATTGCCAATAAAACATTAATTTTATATATTATTTGTAAATAATATATGATTAGAAATCTTTGAGAAACTTCTATTTGAATTAATGATTTTTGATAAATGATAGCTTCAAACATGTTGAACAAGTCCCTTAGATCCAATAAATCTATTCATAGGATCTCTTAACAATAAAACACTAATGGGTCAAAATAAAAACATTGCATGGTTTAATTTAAGGTTCTAGACAAATACCTAT